ATTTTTCCGAGTTGATTTATTGATCGGTTTGATTTTTGCAAAACACTATTTTATGAAGTTAATATGATCACAAAGAAATAGTGTTGCATTGAATTTAATAAATTCATAGAATGATAGGGATTTACTCCCTCTGTCCCTTTTTACTTGTCAAATTTCGACTTTTTACTTGTCCATTTTTACTTTTCATTTTTGACAAATCAAGAAAAGACAATATTTTTTACATACTATACCCTTAATTTATTTAGAGAGTTAATGTTTTTGAAAAAGGTAAAACCTCTTTAATGGGTAAATTGATTTTGGAATTCTATCAATTAATAGGGGTAAAATGGTAAACTCATTATGTCAATTACTATTTTCTTAATAGGCATGCCAAGTCAAAAATGGACAAGTAAATAGGGACAAAGGGAGTAGTAGTGACTACATCCCGTGCTAGAAATTTAAAAAGACTCATGTAGACACTGGAATTTTGTTGGACTCTACGAGACAAGACGTGTTCAATTTTAGTTGGGATTCTACAATATGTGTTCAATTCCAATTATGATTCTTGGAGGCTAAAACCCTAAACCCAGTTCATGCCTATATAAAGGGTACTAAATTCCCTTAAAAGACATCTCAAAATATCCCATAAATTCTTGGGTATTATTAAAGATTACGATCTCGATATATTCCACAAAAGTCATGGAATATTCATATAGAGGTCAAATCTAAATCATCCTAGTTCGAGATATACGCCACTAACAACCCTCGAATCATGGATAAATCTTATGAGAGGAGAATCAAGGGATCAACAGAATTGTACCCTCACTATTTATCAATAAAGTTATGTTTCTTCATATTTTATTTGTGATTGCAATTTCTTTTCTGCCACTTTAAAATTTGTTGCAAACAACTTCAAAAGGTAAATTTGATCTTTTTTAAATAGACAATAGATTTTGCATAATACAAAAAGTTTGACCGTTTGGGAGACTTTAGAATAATTAATAATAAAATAATGAAAATAACGAAATGAGAATGAAAAAGGTAAGGACTCGTAATATGAGTTCATGTCAATCGTTAGGATATAAATAAGACAACAAGTTAAATAATTACGTAACATAAAATACTATAATTTTTTAAAACTATTTTCTTCTAATCATTGTTTGAGTGACTTTATAGTCAAGTCGATCTTAATATCACAGTTGTGAATAGGGTTGTTCATGGTTATGGTAAAAATTCAAATCGAACCACAATCCAAATCAAACCAATTAAAAATCTGATATTTGGTGTAGTTTGGATAGGTTTGGTTTTAAATTTTGAAAATCGATACTATTTGATTTGGTTTTGATTTTACTAAAAACTGCAAAAAAAAAAAAAAAAAACCGAACCGAGAAATTATATATAAAAAATTTATAATTATTTATATATTATTCATAAATAAAAATATAAATATTATGTTAGATTTAATTAACTTAAGTGTCAACTTTACCATTTTCTCAAGTTCAATACTTAAATTTTAGACAAACTATTAAACTCCTAAGACCAAGTCCATCATAATCCATTACTTTAATCTTTACCTATCCTACGTCACATTATACAGTCACACTTTCTCTTAATCGAATCACTTTATTCGTGTAATAATAACTTTAGTATTGCTTAATTGAATCTACAATAACTTTCTTGTGGATTGTTCATGTATTAGGTGTCTGTGTCTACCGAAATGTGTGTATTCTCAACAAATTTAATTTATTACTTTCAAATTGAAAAAACCAAAAAACCCAAACCAAATCGACAACAATTAAACCGGGCAGTTATTTTTTTTTATTTGGTGTGGTTTGATTTAGACATTTAAAAACCAACTAAATTGATTTGGTTTTGGTTTTAAACAATAACCAATCAAAACCAAATCATGAACACCCCTAGTTGTGAATTGTGATAATAAAACTTGAAATAGAAATATTTAAAAAGGCACAATTGAATTAGAAATTTATATAGTTATAAAATTAACTTTTTACCCTAAATTGGGTCCTTTTTTTTGTTAGGTTCATACACGTCATAATTAAAGCAAAACGAAAGTTGTTTCTTTTTTTTTTTGCATCACGTCGTTATTTCTTTATTATAAATGACAACAAAAAATTATTAGTAGATCGAGTGACCATATTTTTATAGATGAAAACAACCCAAAAGTACAATACATAGAGATTATTGTTCATGAGTATTCATGATATAAACATAGCTAGAGACAATATTCATTAGTATAATTGTTATGTCCACTTCAGTATCCTTCACTTTTGAAAAAAGGTGAAGTATATATGTTTTGTTATTAACTGATGCATAAACAACACAAATCATACAAAAAAACATTTGTAAATGAAGTTGTAAGCTTTGCCCCAACACTTAATTAAGTGCATAGTCATGACAAAACAGTTGGGAGTATGTAAAAGAAAACATACATATCAAAAACATTATTATAGTGATACTAGATGCGGTACTACCATATAGTAAAACATTTTCACTTTATATTAAAAAATATTAATATATAATAGAGAAAAATATTGAAATTATTCCTGAACTTGACACAAATTATTAGTTTCGTTCTTGAACTACTGACAGCCTTAAAAACAACCCTCTAGTTACTTGACTAACTAAACTTAGATACACTCATGATCTATCACATGACATAGCAAATGATCTCAAACTCTTGTAGGAGGGCTCTTAATAAAAAGTCGAGAAAAGTGTTGAAAATACCCGTAAACTTGGTGAGAATTTAGGGGTGTATTTCACTCATGTTACAAGATAAGGGGTACTGTAAGTAAGTTCAGTTATTCAAATAAAGGAATGTCTTTAAAGTTGTCAATATATAGTTTAGGATGAAACTAATAAATCACGCCGAGCTTAGAAGTGTTTTCAATACGTCTCTATATAATGAATCCTTCTCACAGGTTTAAAAGATCGATATTCGATCACTTGAAATGAAATTTAAGTATTACATCAGTGTTCATATATAAGGGACATTTTTAATCCTAAATATATATATCTCAGATCAATATTTTTCACAATATATGAATGTGCTCAATCAATGTTCTTGCCAAAAAGAAGAAGAAGAGAGATTAAAGCAGGAAAAACGAAAAATAAATAACAACATACATGCACCTACCAAGTAATTATAAGAACAAATAAATAGAGTAGTAATTACTAATTACGTTAAAAAATCAAGAAGACCAAACATATCTATACTTAAACGTCCTCCTAATTAAGAATCTAGCTAATCATTTCATCCACTTAAGAAAGCATCCTCCATCAATACATGCCTAACCCCACTGCTAGGACTCATATATTCCTCACTAATTAATTACTTTCTAAATAAAATTCTTTGGTGGTTTTCCAATGGCATTTCAAGATGTATTAATCAATTATGTAAAATTATAATAGAGTTTCATTCTTCTTTTTTCTTTTATGTTTTAAGGGATGGGAATGCCATGTTGGGATATATATGGAGTAAGAATAGTCTATCAGTGTTCATCTACCTCTGTCTGATATAGCTCGTCGCAGATTAATCAGGCTCATGCTACATTTGTTTTATATTTCAATTAGTTTAGTTCTCTTACAACATTACTTATTTTATTTGATTAACAATTTGATTCATATATCCTTTAAACCTCACTTGCAAATTCAAATATTTTTTTAGGGTAAACAGTTTGACATTCATTGTGGGGCTAAGGATATTTCTGTTGGAATTAACGCATTCACACCTTGATGTTTAGTCTTTCAATATTGTCTCTTAGTTTTTTAGAAGTCTTTTAGAATTTTGTAATACATTAAATTGTGATATATGTATCTAGTTATTTGTGCAAGACCTTTGGTTTTGTAATAGTAATTTTACCTTTATTAATTAAGAGTAATGCAAAGTATATAAAATATTACGTTACAAAAGGGATGAATTACCTATCCGTTCCAAAATACATTTTGTTAAGTGTGATGTAATGACTTTTAATATCATTAACATTTCACATACGTTTCTTAGAAATTACTTCTTCTCTTTGAAACTCCTATTTTGCAAATCCTATATAAAGATGTATCTTGAGTGAGCATAAGACCACTCAACCAACCTAAACAAAAACAAGAGAAAAAACTTTTTCCTCCTTTCTTCTTATTCTTAGAATATTTTTGGGCAATTGGTTTTGAGCAACCTCCAAACTCTCAGCCACGAGTGCACGTGTTTGAGAGTAACTGTGGAATCTTGGGAAGCAACCTGCTACAACGATTTGCATCGGAGTCAAGCCGAAATTGCTTTCAAGGCAGTGGCTTGCCACGACACAATGTTTGTGATAAGTTATTTACTACTTTATAATTCCAATCTATTATCAATATTGTAGTATTTTTCCCAACAATTTGAAAGCGATTTACTAACATACAATATTGATAAATGGCTATTTCTTTGAACAAATTTTTTTCTGATTTGTCAAAACTTGAGCCTTTGGATGGAAGTAATTTTAAATGATGGTCACAAAAACTTTTGATTTTCTTTGAACAATTAGAAGTTGATTATATTTTATTTAACGAACCTTCTATGAATGGTTCTAATACTACTATTGATTCTAGCAATGTCATGGTTGTTGATGATGTTGCTAAAAAGAAGTTTGAAAAGGATAACAGAACCATAAGAGAGGACACTTTCTAAATCATATGACTAGTCTTTTATTTGATTTATTTGTTACTTATAAATCTGTCAAAGAAATATGGGATAGTTTGGAAAAGAAATATGATGTTGATGATGCAGGAAAGAAAAAATATGTTGTCGGTCAGTGGATTAAATTCTAAATGGTTGATAATAAGCCAATAATGAAACATTTTCACGAATATGAGAACTTGATTGCTGATGTTCTCAACGAGGACATGAAGATGTGTGAGATATTTTAGGCTAATATTTTGCTTGAAAAATTCCCACAATCTTGGAGTGATTATAAAAATCAATTTAAACATAATAAGAAAAAAAATTAACTCTCCAAGAACTTATTAGTCATATGAGGACTGAAGAGGCGAACCGTCTCAAAGATAAGATGGAAGAGCTTTCTCTTAAATCTTCTAAAGCTAATCTTGTTGAATTTTCTGGTACTGTTGTGAAAGACAGGTTCAAAGGCAAACAGAAGAAAGTCTCGAAAAAGGAACATATGAAGAAGAAAAATCAATTCAACAAGCCGGAGAGTCAAATTCAAAAATTTAAGGGTCCTTGTTTTGTTTGTGGAAAAGTTGGTCACAGGGCTGCCAAGTGCTATCAAAGAAAATGGCAAGCAGGAAGGACAAAGTGATGTCCAAGCTCATCTTGCTGAGGGTAATGAAATGATTGTTGTTGTAGTCGTTGAGGCAAATCTGGTGGCTAACAAAACTGACTGGGTGTTGGAAACATGCGCTTCAACGCATTTTTGTTCTAATAAGAATTTATTTCATGACTTTGAGGAGTCCACTGAAGGCGAGTGTGTATATATGGGTAACTCCACTACTGCTGTAGTAATGGGTAAAGGAAAAGTTTTACTTAAATTAACTTCTGGAAAGACATTATCCTTGAACAATGTTTTGTATGTTCCCTCCCTCCGTAAAAACTTAGTTTCCGGAGCACTTCTCAACAAAGTAGGCCTTAAACTTATTTTTGAAGCTGATAAAATAATTATTTCTCGTGGAGAAGACTTTGTTAGGAAGGAATATCTTAGTGGATGATTATTTGTACTGAACATTGTTCAAGAGGTTGTCAATAATAGAAGCATTTCAAATTCTGCTTATATTGTTGAGTCTATCAATTTGTGGCATGGTAGACTAGGTCATGTTAATATTGCTTCTATTAAAAGACTTAGGAAAATAGAATTAATTCTTATGATAAAAACTGATGATTTTTCTAAATGTCCTGTGTGTAGGAGCAAAATATGCCAAGAAACCTTTCAAATCTGTTATTAGTAGAAAGACCGAATTACTTGAACTAATACATTCAGATTTAGCAGATTTCAAGAACACTATTAGAAAAGGTGGGAAAAAGTATTATATTACTTTTGTTGATGACTTTTCTAGATACACTAAGGTATATCTTCTTAAGTCTAAAGATGAAGCTGAAAGCATGTTTTTGAAATTAAATCAATGCAGAAGTGGAAAATCAATTAGACAGAAAAATCAAGAGATTTAGATCTGATAGGGGCAGTGAATATAGTACTAAGACTCTAGAAGATTTTTGTGAGAAAAATGATATTATACATGAGGTTAGTGCTCCATATACTCCCCAACAAAATGGTGTAGCCAAACGAAAAAATAGAACCCTTGAAGAAATGATGAATTCTATGTTTTTAAGCTCTGGTCTATCTGAGAATATGTGGGGAGAAGCAGTCTTGTCTGCATGCTATATTCTTAATAGAGTCCATCATAAGAATTTAGACAAGACCTCATATGAGTTGTGGAAAGGGTTTGCTCCTAACTTGAAATTTCTGAAAGTGTGTGGGTGTTTGGCTAAGGTTGATCTACCTGATTTTAAACGAGTAAATGTTGGTTCTAAGACTTCGTTAGTGTCTTTATTAGTTATGAAATGCTGCATATAAATTTATATCTCTAAATGATCATTCTATTTTTTTAGTGATATGACAAAAGGCTATAGGCTTTTCGATGTCAAAACTAACAAACTTGTTGCTAGTAGAGATGTCATTTTTGATGAAAAAACAACATGAGATTGGAAAGATAAAAAGGTGGAGAATACTTCTATCATATCTAAACTGTCAAATCAAGAAGAGGATGAGGAAGAGGAAGATGTCCCTCAAGGGGCAGAAATCTCAGATTCAGATGATGAAGAACCACCTCCAAGAGGAACAAAAATATTGAGTGAAATTTATCAAAGATTCTACTTTACCAGTGTTGAGCAAGAAAATTATGAGAAGACAATAAAGCACGATGTTTGGAACAAAGCCATGGCTGAAGAAATTCGGATGATTGAGAAAATTAATACTTGGGAGTGTGTGACTATACCCAAAGAAAGAAAAGTTGTAAATCTAAAATGGATTTACAAAACCAAACTCAATCAAGAAGGAGATATTCAAGAGAACAACTTGCTGACATCTTCACCAAAGCACTTCCAAGAGAAAAGTTTTGCTATCTTCGAGAAGGCATTGGAGTTGTCAAGCAAATGCATTAAGGGGTAGTGTTGAAATTAATGCATTCACACCTTGATGTTTAGTCAATCAATATTGTCTCTTAGTTTTTTCTAGAAGTCTTTTAGGATTTTGTATACATGTATCTAGTAAATTGTGATACATGTATCTAGTTATTTGTGCAAGACCTTTGGTTTTATATTTTTGTTAGTATAAATAGAGATATAATTGATGATTCTAATCATCTAAAGTGACCTTAAGTAGCTAAATAAAACTTGAGCATTTTCTAAAGAAAGTATTCTCCTTCTATATTTCCTACATGGTACTGATTTGCTTTTTCTAAATTCTTGCTAGAAAATTATGTTCTTGTGTAGCAAGATAATTAGAAGGTTCAATGGCTGGTACTGGAAATAACGATCATATCAACATCAACGTCAACCTTGTCTTGAACAACTCCACGACCAAAAAGGTTGATCTAGCCACAACAAAAAATCAAGTAAAAAATAGCATGAAAAGTCTCATCATGATTGCAACGCCTTGTAACTTCTAAGCAAATATTGAAACCATCTTCCTTATGTGTATGGGTACAAACTCTATTTTTCTAAGTTTTACGTGTATGTTAAGGTCCTTTACTAAGTGTAGTAAGTGTATTGAATATGTCTTAGGGTCGTAAGTTACCTCAAACATCAAATCAAGTTTAAAGAATTTTATCGGCTTAATTTTCGCATGAGTTCACCCGAGGTTCAATTTCAGACGGTCATATATCTTAGAATATTAAGAGTTTGATGGCTCATAACCTAATAAGTTAAAGATCTATGAGTCTTCTTTTCAATACAATCGGAGTTCAGAGTAGAAAGTTATGACAGTTTTACTGAAATATGTACGGACTAGAAAATCCGGTGATGACACTTATCATTCAGTGAATCATTGAATAGTTTGACGTTACTGAAATGATCCGAAAACCTTCAAAAATAATAATTAATTTTGGCGATCAAAATTGGCTCTGCCGAATATTATAGTGACAATGCCTCTAAATCACTGATTTGACTAATAGAATTCATTAAAAGGTCGTTTTCTTTGATTTTTTGGTCTCATACGTTTTTAGAGGGGTATTCTTACCCTTTTACCTTCAATTAACTTTCTTAAGTCCATCTTATAACCTAATAATATCCTTATAAGTATAGCAACTCTCGAAATCCCTAATTCTTATCAAGTACTTCAAGAAAGGGATTTCTCCAATTTTGCAAGATCTTTGGTTCCAGCTTCAAGATTCTCTTCAAGAATTTTGAGGTTTTTAATCAAAAAAAATTCTCAAACTTCATCTCCAAGAACTCCATAGAAGGATTTTCAAGTTAAAGCTATACAATTTCAAGTTTAAAGTTTTTCTTCAAGAATTCCTAAAATTTAGATATGTAGAACTCCAATGAGGAATTCTTTTCAACCTCATTTCCAAGATTCCTCAGTTTACATAAATTTAATGTTGTAGTTAGGATTTATAAAAAACTTTCAAATTCACCATATTTATTACCTGAATTTTATGATTTTTCAACTTTTTATTCATGATGATGAATTCTTGACTAATGTACTTCCTTTTTATACTTGGTAAGCTTTCTCATTGTCGTCCTTATTAGCTTTGTCATGTTATTATTTATGATTCATAAATCTTATATTTCAAAGAATAATTTTAGAGTCTTTTATCTTATTATGAAAGATATTTTGAGAAATTACAAGTTATGCAATTTCTAAAAAGAAAATCTCATGATTTAAAAGCTATGTTTTAGAAATAAATTTTGACATATGTTTTAGAAAAGATTTGAGTTTCGTCTCATCGATTTGAGCATAGTCTCACTGCAAGATGTGTTTTAGAAAGAGATTTTGAGCAAGACTCGTGATAAGCTTCTAGATAAGATTAATAAATATTTTTTATGAGCTATATAGATAGTATGTTTGGGAATAGTTTTAGCGCTGAGCGAATGAAAATTCTAGATAGCACAAGTTTCAAAACTACATGTCACCATATGAATATGTTTCGCCATTTTTTGAGTTGACCCTGACAAGGTATAAGGCACCCTCCAAACTAGGGTATTCATTGGTGCATCATGAGCTCATATGGTGTATGTCAGTTAAGAGAAACTTCCACCTAAAAGATTTACTCTATTTATTTTATATATTTCTTGATATTATCATTATAAAATTTCAGATAACATCATTTTCATATATGCATCCTTTCAGATATGATTTCAAAAAAGTATGGTTTTAAATATATATTTTTGTTTCTGAAATATTTGTCACATGTCACATATTTGACTCTCAATCCTTGAGTTATCTTGTGTATTACTCATGCTCAGATTTATATTTTTTCAGTTGTTTGTATAATTGTTGATATCATCCCTTGCATTGCATACCAGTACATTTCATGTATTGACACTACTTTGTGATACATCATTTTATGATGTAGATTTCAGCACCATGATTTAAATTCGTGGACAGGCATTCCACTAAGTTTCTCTACTTTTAGCATTGTGGTGAGTCTTCCTCGCATTTCGAGGACTTCAGTTTTGAGTCAGTAGATGTTATTCACTTCAGTTGTGTTAGCTTTCAAGCAGTCCGGGGTATTGTCCCGACAAATTATCTCATTCAGTTTAAAGATTTTCGGGCATTAATATTCAATTGTAATATATTTATTTCAGTTACGATTCTTTATTTACGTATTCTACTTCAGTTTACATCTGATATGCTTAGATATGTTATGTCAAATATTAGCTTTGGATCACTTATTCTAAGCACGGTGTCTTAGCAAGGGTGTAGACTAGAATCATGACAATTACACTCACATAATGAAGGAAATAGCGACTTGAACACAATCAGAGTCGTCGAATTTGACTTTAAAAAACTCTCTGCTATACTAATTGTTTTATCAAAAATGATAATGGATTGGCAAGAGAGATCAAATTAGTGCTTGTAACGACTTGTTCCCGTCGTTATAGAAATGCCAATGGGGGAAAATTTGGGGCCGGAAAACTTTTTCGTAATATTTGGATTTTCCCAACCTTGTCCAGATTTGAACGAAATCAGAGTATCTGAGGTGTAGGAAAATCTGATAACAATCGGGTAATTTAATTATGATTTTGATTACATGAGTAGTTAAATAACTCGTTAAAGAATCCATACGACTTTACAGAATTGAATTCGGGTGAGTAGAACTCCCAAAATCGATATTGGCGTAAAGGGTATTTTCTTAGCATCGTTGGTTAGAGGTGTGTTGCGAAATGAGAATCTTGGAAATCTTGAATTAGCTCTCTGTCTCGCGTAGCCCGCATTGGCGCCACTTTTTGCCGCACAACGGGGTGACGGCCGTTGTGGAGGGCTCGACGTGAATTAAAGTTGTTCATAAACCCCTAAACCTCATTATGCACTTTTTGACTTTTAGAGCTAAGGAACGAAACCCAGGCGTCTCCTACTCATTTTTCACCATTCTTGAGGCTAAAGGTAAGCTTTTCACTACCCGAATCTGTTTTTCGATTCGTAGAACGTAATAGAATGGTGAATATTGATGGGTGAAGGTTTTGTTATAGATTCTATGGTGGAAACAACCCTAAATTGGATAATTGGGATCATGGGTATGATCTAGGGTTAATAGAATTGTTAGTAATTCAAGTAATTAGTGATTGATTATTGATTCCCGTATTATATTAATTATTTGTAGACCAAGAACAAGCGGAACGAATTTGGAAAGGGAAGGATCAAGTTTCTTAGGGTTTCAAGATTGTTTCAAGGTAGGTGATGGTTGTGATTCTATGATTGTGTGATGTATGATTGTTCTTGCTTCATTATGATACTTGTATATATATGAATGTTGTAATGTTGATCACACTTGTTGTAAATGAGATAGATGAATGATGATTGCCATGAAATCATGACTTAATGTATGATCTTGATGATATACTTGTGATTGTGATTAAGCGTGGCAACGGAACCGGGAGCTGCTAGTTCCGGTTCCGGTCCGTCCTAGTCCGTTACCGATTCCGTCTCGATTCCGGTTCCGGTCCGTCTCGGTCCGTTACCGATTCCGTCTCAATTCCGGCCTGTACCGGTTAGGTCCTGATAGTAGCGGGTCCGGGAGGGGTAACGGGACGAAAATTGGGATTTACCGGTTAGTCCTGGTTCGGCTAGTCTCGGTTCCGGTCCGGTCCGGTTAAATTTATTTTATTTAAATCTTAATTATTAATTTATAGCCGTTGAGAGCCGTTGGGCAACGGGTTTTGGGCCCCACCAATGGCTCTTTCACCCCTATAACTCCCATTTACACCTCCCTATCCCCCAAAAAAAATTTAATACCCCAACCTTCAAAAAACTACATGTTCATCCTTCTTTTAAACTATAAATACCCCCAATCTTTCATTCTTTTCACTCACAATTCACAAAAATATTATATTCTACTCTCTAATCTCTTATTCTTGTTAAAATTATGAATTTGGATTTTGTTCTTTGGAAATTGGAGCTTCAAAATTCAACTTTCAATTTTCGGCTTTCGGTCATACACGTTTACTTTTTTAAATAGACGTTTGGTACATTCGTTCCAACTCACTTATCTTTTAGTTATTTATTTGTTTGCATTTAATTATTTATTTTGTGAGTAATTAGTCTCTAGTCTCTACTTATTTAGTTATTTATTTGTTTAAAACTTTGCATTACATTTTCGTATTATATATAATTTACTACTTTTTATATTTGAATATGGATTTTGGTAAAACAATGTTGAAAAGGGTAAAACAACCATAGTTGATTCGATAACTAATTTATGGAGCTCAAAATCCAAGAAAAATAAAAAAATCGGTAGTACTTCTAAATCTAAAACTAAAAAAAATTCTCAATTAAGAATAAATACGGATGATTATTCGCATGTTGATGAAACTGTTTTTAATATTGATAGTAATAGTGGATTAGATCCTTATCATGAACATTTACAAAGAAGGTTTGGTAATTTTGATGAGGAATTACCTGAAAATGATGAACATGATGATGTTAATGATTATATTGATAGTTTTGAT